TCCAATCCGATCCGACCTGAGCACCACTTGGAACCAACAGCTCAAACAGCATGTTGTCATCATGAATTGGAACTCCCCATTCTTCGTCATGGTACGCCACATAGATAGGATCTAAAGCATCGAATAACAAATCATTTAAATTTCCAGAAATTGTCAAAATTTGAAAGTGAAAAATGACAATAACAAGTACCTGAGTTGGGGGTGATAAAGCTACACCTCTTCTTTTCCTCGGCGGACTTGGTGTTATCGAGAGGAGACTTGAGATACAAATTTGGCTGATTTCGATCTCCTGTAGTGTGCGATTCTCATCTTTCTTTGTGCTTGTTGAAGAGCCACCTATTCCCTCCCGGCCGCAACGATACTTCCGGGAGCCTCAACGAGCAAAGCCGACGAGTAGCTCAATGACGACGGATCTACACAAGAAGAATATAATCTGTTCCCCATACCCTCTTTGAAACTTTTCGATTTCTTCCTCTCCAAGGTTCTGATATTGCTTATGGGAATGACAACCTTTTCAAAACTAATGTTCAATCCATTCGGATCACTCCCTCGCTTAACCGGGTTCGGGAACTTCGAGCTCGGGGACAAAGGCGATGTCAACAACGCCTTAGCCCTGCAACCATTGGCAACACTAGTGGAAGGCAGCATCGATATTAACGGTTGAGGCAGTAGAGGAGAGATGGGTGGTATCTTCTTCAACGAATTACGACTATCGAGGAACCTTGACACCTTAAGAGTTGTTGTAGTATTAGTATTATCTGACACCTTAGCCTTAGAGGAACACATTTTTCTTTCTTTTTGTTCTTTTCTGTAGGGGTGAAATGCAACAACAAGTAGTAATGATGGGAGAGAAATGAGTGATGAAACAAGGAATGAAGGGGAAGGAAGAATGGTGGGGGTTATATAAAAGGGAGGAAAGTGGCGACGAAGGAGGGGGAAGAGAACATAGGGAGGTTGGGGTCTGCCATACAACCTCTTGTGAAGGGCATTACTTTTTGGTAACTATACCACGGGGGTGACCTTGACACCCTTTATTTTATTTATATTTTTGTTCTTAGCCACTTGGCATTGGTTTAACACATAATTATTAACAATTAATGCCATTGATAAAAGTTCGAATAAATGAGGAGAGAATCATGGAAAGATACATAGACTATGTGATACAGTAGCCAAGGTAGGAGATATGTTGGGTGGTGGTCACCTCTTGTGCCCTGTTATTGTCAATTAGTTTTGGCTGGCTGGGTTTAGTTAACCTTGGGAAACTTCCCTTCTCTTATAACTTGTATATCTGAAAAATATAATTTTATAATATTATAATTGTAATAAAAGTTTGATTTGATAATTAAAGTCTAGAGTTTACCCTATTTTTTTTTCTTTTCTTTCATCTTCGTTAATCTCTTTTCTTCTTTTTTTGTGATCGACGATAATACCAGTTTTAACATTGATCGTCGATCTTGATATTTATTTTTTTATTATATTGTATCTTTAATTTTTCTTGTTTTTTATTTTTTAATAATTATATATTTATGACACATCATCTTCTGTTTTTATGACATGTTTTTCTATGTCTTTATGACATGTTTTCGGTCGTTTGACCATTAATTTTGTTTATCATTTTTTAAGGTAGATTTGACATCGGCACGATTGATCAATATGATACTTTATTTGTCATCATGTTAATCTTCACTGTTTTGGACCCTCATATTGGATTTGATACACGATTTACGTTTGTGGATAATATTTTCACATCACTCAATTCTCATTTGCGATTTGTCAGTGGTCTTTCAATAGTTTTATTCCTTTTTGTGGTTCGTTTACCAATGCAATCAGATATGTTTGTATCTACCTTTTATCCAAATTTATTTGGTTAAATTTTTTAATTTTTCCTTGTTTGATCCTTGTGATCTTAAAGTAGCTAATTTTCTCATGTTTAAAAAAATATTTTTATTATACGTTTAGTTTACAATTATGTTTGTGAACCTGCATTGTAATTTGAATATTCTCTATTTTTTAATAAAATTAGCAGTTTCTATAAAAAAAATCGAGTTTTATCATATATATATATATATATATATATAAATAGGGATGGAGTATATAATTTGAGTATTTTTTTTATATTTATACTTATAATTTATTTTGTCTTTTAAAATTTTATAAATTCATTCTTAAAATTTCATAAATTTATTACCTTAAATACATCCTAATTATAGGGTTGTTCATTCGGTTAAAACCGAACCGAACCGAACCGAATTAACCATAACCGAATTAACCAAACTTTTTTTTTCTTTAACCGTTAACCGAACCGAACTTTTTTTCAAACATATTAACCGAACCGAATAAATTTCGGTTAATTCGATTAATTTTCGAATTAACCGATTTTTTTTAAAATTTTCTAATTTATATAAAAATTAAATGTTTTTTTAATTAAAAAAAGTTTATAATTAATTTAAATAATATATAATTATAAAATAAAAATTTCAGATAAATTTTTTAATTAATTAATATTGATTTATGTTTAAAAGTTATTGGATCTTAAATTATTAATTGGGTTTTAAATGGTTTGGGCTTAGCCCATATGTTATATATAATATATATAATATTTTTTAATAAAAAAACAGTTTTCAATTAATTTAAATAATATATAATTATAAAATAAAAATTTTATATAATTTTTTAATTAATTAATATTGATTTAGGTTTAAAAGTTATTAGATCTTAAATTATTAATTGGATTTTAAATGGTTTGGGCTGAGCCCATATGTTATATATAATATATTTAAAATTTAAAATTTAATTTCGGTTAATTCGGTTAATTAACCGAATTCGAACCGAATTAACCGAATTCGAACCGAATTAACCGTTAACCGAATTCTAAAAATTTTCTTAACCGTTAACCGACCGAACTAATTCGATAACCGAACCGAATTAATCGAACTAATTCGGTTCGATCGGTTAACCGAATTAATTCGATTATTTGAACACCCCTACCTAATTATATGTGAGATGAGATGAATGGATAAAATGGTAATTATGTTTTGGGTGCGAACGGAATTGAGTTGGAGTGGTGGATAAGGAAGGATACCATGGGAGGAAAAGACTAATAATCGGAGGTATTCTTTATAGCTAGAGCTGAAGTTGCAGATCAATAGAATCTCCCCCTCCCCTCACGGAGAGAGCCTTTTCAGAGGAATAATATGGCTGGTATTCTTTATTTATTAATAAACCATCAAAGAATAAAGTACTAACATTTATACATATTTTATTTTTCCTTTTATAAAATGATACAAATTAAAATTTTATTTTTTCTAAATACATACAAGTATCATGTCGAAGAAAAAAAAATATATTTCTCAGTTGTGGAGAAGTCTCTCGGTTATTTGGTCTGATGTGCGATAGAATCTGATTTGAACTTTGCGTAATGGCAATTCGATTGATTCCTGGTATGATGCATGACTAGGTGATTGAGGTCCGTTATTTCAGTATCTTCATCCACTTGCACCGTTACCTAATATTGGTATAATTGTTTCATCGTTAGTGAACTCCGATGGAGAATAAAAATGGGAGTGTTTCGAGATCGATTGTTGGAGATGGTTCGTCTCAATCTAGCTGCCACTCGGCCACCGTTAGTTGATGGTGGTGACCGTGTCGTGGGACGGGGCAAGGGTAGGAAACGGCTTTTCACAGTGACTAGTACACGCGTGTTGATGGAAAATTCTGTTGCTGCACAACCATGGGATGTGTTGCAGAGTTATCGTGGTCTCCCGCGTATTCAGATGCTGATGTGGACTATTTGTAAGGGTCTTCTTCTCTCGAATGAGGAACGTGTTCGTTGACATCTAACGATGGATGCTAGTTGTTCGTTGAGTGGAGCAGCTACCGAAAGCAGCTCTCACATTTTGCGAGAATGTCCTACGGTTGTGGCTACGTGGAAGGAGGTAATTAAGCCACACCTTGTTCATGAATTCTTTAATGTGGATTTGGTGTCTTGGATTAATAAGAATCTACGGCATCTGCACTATTTCCCAAATGACGAGGAGGACTAGGATATCTTGTTTGACTTACTCGTGTGGTGCTCGTGGACGTGTCGAAACAAACTGATATTCGATGCAGATTTCATTACAAGTCAAAGTGTTTTGCAACAAGGTATTCGAATAAGAGGGGAGGTGACTCGTGCATTATCTCAAATGTATATTAGATCGAGCGGCAAGGCATTAAGAAAGAACTAGACGGGTAAAAATGCGAAGACAGATTATAGGGTTCCCCTAAATTCGAAATAAACTCCCCATTTCTTTTCGCAGGCGGAATTAGTGAAATATATTTAACGGCTATTATTTAGCCTAATAAGTTAAATATATTTTTATTTGGGATCTATGGTAAAATTTACAATGTAACTGGTCGTCATGTCGAATTAAAGAGTTCCGTGAGATATAATTTTTTAATGAGTTATGGGAAGTAGGTCTATGAAACTGAATATATTTAATATATTTTCAGGTACTCGTCACGTTCCATTAATTCTTTTTGTTGTTGAAATTTTAAAAAATATCGTAAAAATTATATTATTTTAATAGATATTGCAAACAGAAAGTCGGAGCTCAATGAGAAGGATAAAAAGTTGAATGATATATTGCAGTTTGAGGTACAACAGTCCTCTTTTCTGTATTTTAAGCCATCAGATTTTGGGCTTCATTTTTTAGGTGTAAAAAGTAATTCATTGTATTATGTCTTGTGTAGGCTAATCTAAAGTCAGATATGGAGAAACAGAAGAAGCTTGTCCTTCAATTTAAGCTGGTTATAAAGTGGAAAGCATTACTTATATTCATCTTCTTGCTGATTCCGACTACAATGCTTTAAGAACTAGAGTTTTGTATATCGCATTTTGGGTTCTGGTTAGTATTTTTGCGTGACATTTTCATTAATTCTCCCAGAGGAGAGCTGAATACAGGTGCTTAAGCTGATTTTTCTTCTGTTTCCTGTTCTTGTTCTCCTTGTTTGTCTATAATATTTTTCTTCCACGGTACTTGCACAGATTCTGGAGAAAACTGTTGAGAGACAGAGAGAAGAGTTGAAGAAAGAAAAGGATGAACATCAGAATGAGAAAACAAAACGTATCAAGTGTGAACGGACTATTATGGAGGCAGTCAGGAAAACTGAAAAGGTTTGTATATTTGTTCTTAGAGCATATTTGCCTCATGTTATGCAAGGGTTCTCAGTGGTTAGTATACTTGTTAGATATTTGAACTCAATTTGGTCATTGTCACGCAAAGCTCGAGTTACGGAGCATAATTGAATGAGATCAGAAAACATGGTTCCTTTTTCGAGATGAACACAAGCTAGAAAATATGTTAGTTTGAGTTGTGTACCCCTAAGCAGAACACAATATTGTGCTGTGAATTTCCCCGTTTCAAGAATAGTAACATACTTTTGCCTTTAATTTCGCTCTTGTTTATGTTGTTTTCTGTGTGGTGGCCTCTTAATGTTTTACAGGGAAAAGCAACCGTTTTAAGTGAGCTTGAGAAATACCAACTGGCTTTGAAGCGTATCTCAGAAGAACTAGAAAAGCTCAAACATGCAGAGGGCAATCTTCCTCAGGTAATAGAGGTTGCAGGGTTTATGAATTATTAGTTTTCTCAATTTGTTTCCGTGAGTAAAAGGGTCTGGTTCCTTCTGTTGGGCATTTTGGCTTGTCAATTTTACTCCATGTACTTTATTTCCTAACACTGCAAAATAAAAGGGAAGGAGTGAAAAAAGTACCTTCTTTTGACAAGAGGAAAGATAACTCACATACAAAAGTAAGAGATTATCAGTACTTTTCTCTTTCTTCCCCATTTCCACCTTAATTTATTAATGGCGGATTAGAGATTCATCAGTTGTTTGTTTCTCTTTGCTCTCGTGTCAATTTGTTAATTGCTTTTTAAAAAGAGGTAAAGGCAAAAAACTTATCTTTCCTTGCTCCCATGATTTTAGCACTTTTGTATAACTGGTATTTTCTTGTCTGGAAGTTGGTTTAGAAAAAGAATGAGGACAAATACCACCTTTTCATGCCTACTTGTATTAAATACTTTCCAGCGTTGATATTGTGAATTATAATTCATGTTTCTTGCTGGATTTAACTTTTACAGGGTACCTCAGTGGTTCAGCTTCTTTCTGGCACCATCTCTGATGATCATGCTTCCCCGCATCTTTCTGCTACAGAGGATTTTTAGAGAGCAGCACGTTCAATTCTAAGTGAGCTTGGAAGTGGCCCCAGTTCTGGAGATGTTCCTTAAGTAGACAGTTCTGCTGCCGTCTTAACAGGTGTCTCTTCTGAAATCATGGCTTCTTTTCTTCTCTTGGATGGATAAGCTCGTTTCTTTTTCAGGCACAGCAGTTCCGGATCGGGGTCCTGTTACTACATCCTCAACAGTACATGAAACAAGTCAGCATCAACCAGCTAAAGCATCTGAAGAGAGGAGATCTATTGTACCTAAAACCAATACTGAAACTCGTAAAACGGGGAGGAAGCTTGTCCGCCCACGTATTGTCAAAGCTGAAGAGCGGCAAGGTGATGTGGAGATGACAGAAGCTACGTCACATGATGTTGATGCTCAAGGGACTCAACAATCAGCTTGCGAACGTCAGGCTTCTGCCACAACTGAGTTGAGTGAGGATTTACCAGTTCCTGGGGAGACCAGCACGGATGTGGTTGCATCTGCTCTTAAAAAAACGAAGGGTCCAGATTCAGGACAGGAGGCTGCTGCAGGTCAAGCTGCTGCACGCACGGAAAATCTCAGTGCTCCACAGTAACTGAAGAAGCTGATGAGACTGTTGGTGATGTGACTCTAGGTTCAAACGAGGAGGTTGTTGATGTGGAGAAGGAAGAGGCTAACACAATGAAAGAAAACTTAGAACAGTCGAAAGAACCCCAGGTAGATGGGACGAATGAGGTTGGACTGCAGGAAAATAAAAACTTGTCAGAAGAGGTCCTTGATAAGCCAAGTGGAAACGAGATGGTAACTGATGAAGAACCAAAGAATCTAGCTGTGCAAGAAAGCCAACAGCTCCCGCCAGACACTGAGGTGTTGTTTGAATCATGGAATTCAAGATTCCTAGTGATTTCAGATTTTAATTTTCACGTTTAGATGGAAAAGATTTCTAATAGAAGAGGACAAAATCGGTGGAATAATGTAATGGAAAAAAAATTCATAGAATAATGTAGTCCATGAATAATTTTTTTATTTGGGGGTGATTGTTATACTGATCTACAAGGTTGTCAGTTGCTCCGAACGACCAACATAAATCGCTATGTGCTCCGAACGACCTCTATAGGTCGTACAGTTCGTCTTTGGCTAAATGTCTAACTACCGATATAGATAATCGTTGTTACTTAGGGAAATTTAGATAATCGTAGTTCGAAACACATGACGACCAATGTAAGTCGTTTAAAAGACATAGCGATCTATGAAAAATTGTAGCATTCGCCTCATATGGACAAATAATCCTTCGACTATATTATCTAAGTAAAAAAAAAAAAAAAATTAACACATTATTCCACAGATTTTGCCAATAGAAGAGTAATAAAATATTTTCAACAATAAATTTTTTCATTCTTTTACCGAATTGTTAATCCTATGCTTTGTTTAGGTATTTTTTTTTTGTTTTCCTTCAACTTGAACTAAAATACTCTTAAAAGATTTATTTCAAAAATATCTTTACTTTTATTTCAAAATTTATAGTCTTTTGTTTTTATAAATTTATTTTAAAAATTTATGTTCACAAATTATCATAATTTTTTAAATATTAATTAAGATTAAAAGAATATATGGTATATTTACTATTTTAATCTACCAATTTATTTTTTAAATTTTGTAAAAATTTTATATAAATTTTATGAATTTAAATTTAATAAAAATATATAAATTGAAAATAATATAATAATATATTTTCTATGAATTTTTATATAAATATTTTCATTGAATATTGAAATTCAACTTGTTAAAAGAATATTATAAATATAATTTAGTAAAATATACATTCTAATAATCTTTTATTTTTTTAATCAAATAATGTAATTATACATTCCTGTCAAACAAACCAAACACAATAATATGTTTAAGCTAATGTAGGGAGAAGGAAGATGGCGAACTGGACCTGAGATAGCAGTAGATACTGAAGGAGGTACCGATATGCATAATGTAGTGGATTCCGCTGAAGTTGGCGGGACAGATCTAGTTTCATCTCCTCTTGCTTCACCTTCAAGGGTTGAAGATGAAGCTCTAGTTACTGCAGCAGAAGGCAATAACTCTCCCAACACTGTAACTGATGATAAGAATGATGAAGGTGACATCGGCGAAGAGACTATTGGTGAAGGATTTGAAAAGTCCAATGATGGTAACGAGCAGAGTGCAATAGACATAGATCCAACGCCTGAGGCTGTCACTGCTGTTGTTGTTACCTCTGGCACTAATGAAAGTGGTGCAACAAGCGGTCCACCAGAGGGTGAGGTCTCAAAAAACATGGGTAGTTCAAGCGGTACAGCTACAACCGAAGCAGAGGGATGTGAAACAGATGTCTCCCATAAGTGGGAGCGGAAGTGAAAGTAGTGCAACCTCAACATTGGTAAATCTTCAAGAGAGAGCCAGAGAAAGAGCCATGCTAAGACAGACAGGAGTAGTAGGTTCTTCTACTACTTTAAGTAGAGGTCGTGGAAGGGTTACGATTCGTGGTCGAGGTACTAGGGGACGAGGTGTGCGTGGTGGACGGGCAGGTGAAGCAGGGACACAAAATCCTGGTCAGCAGTGAACTATTTTTATTATGATGAAGACCGAAGAGGTGAGAAAAATGATGAGATTAGAGGATGCACTCTGCTTTCTTTTTCTTTTTGAATCTTTTTAAATTTGTTTTTGGGAGGGGGAAGACGTTGATGTTGAAAATCAATGCACCGAAAGTGCATGGTTTGAAGAAAAAAAATATTGAATTTTGTCAACAATTGTAGACACCGAAAATTAGGTGTAGAAATTGTTGATTTTTTATATGGACAAATTATAAACTCTAGTCACTAAAATTTAGGGTATTTACAAATTAGTCCTTAAAGCTTCAACTATAAATACCCTAGCTCATTTAGCTTCAAAACCATCCCAAAGCATTATAGCTTTCTTCCAATACTAGAGAGAATTTAGAGAGTTTCTTGAGAGTTGTTTTCTCCTTTTTATCAAGAGAGAATTATCATTGTTTTCTCCTTGGTAGATCGAGAGAGGTTGTAATTCCTATTTTCTCATAGTGAAATTATTCTACCGTTGCCCGTGGTTTTTACCCTAAATTTTTAGGGGTTTTCCACGTAAATTGTGTGTCTCTTTTATCTTCATATTTATTTTCTCAAATTATCAGTTGCGATTTTGCTCTATCCGATAGCCGTCTTCCGCAACAATTGGTATCCGAGCTAGATTAGAGTGTGTAATATCTGCTTATTATCTTTGTGGTTGCCACCAAAAGGTGGATCCTCCAACATAAGAAAATAAGAAGTTATTACCCATTCTTTGAAGGTTCCAGAGAACTATTTACGATAGTGAAATAGTGGGAGCTATCCGTAAAAGAAGTTATGGCAACGAAATTTGATATTGAAAAATTCAATGGGAGAAATTTCTCATTGTGAAAATTGAAGATGAAGGCCATCCTAAGGAAAGACGGGTGTCTAGCGGCTATCAATGAAAGGCCGGTGGATTTCGCAGATGACATTAAATGGAACGAGATGGACGGGAATGCTATGGCAAACTTTCATCTAACATTAGCATATGAAGTATTGTCAAGCATCGAGGAGAAGAAGACAACTAAGGAGATATGGGATCATCTCATCAAATTGTACGATGCCACATCGCTGCACAATAAAATTTTCCTTAAGAGGAAATTGTACACTCTCTGTATGCCAGAATCTACTTCAGTGACGGATCACTTAAATACACTGAACACCTTATTTTCTCAGCTTACATCCTTAAGCTGTAAAATAGGAGAACAAGAACGTGTTGAACTTCTACTTCAAAGTCTAACTGATTCGTATGATTAACTCATCATCAACTTGACAAACAGTAATGTCACCAGTCTAGTCTTCGATGACGTTGCAGCTGCTGTTCTCCAAGAAGAAAATCGGCGCAAGAACAAGGAAGACATACAAGTAAATCTGCAACAAGCAGAGGCATTGATAACGATTAGAGGGAGATCAACAGAACGTGGCCAAAGCAGCAGTCACAAACATGGTAGATCGAAGTCGAGGAGCAAGAAGAATTTAAAGTGCTACAACTGTGGAAAGAAGGGTCACTTGAAGAAGGATTGTTGGAGTCTAAATAAAAACTCCAATCCACAAGGCAATACCGCAAACACTTCAGATGATGGAGATGCTCTATGCTGTGAAGCGTCAACCACCGTGGAAGACAGAAAAAGATTTGCAGATATATGGCTTATTGATTCGGGAGCGACATATCACATGACCTCAAGAAGAGAATGGTTCCATCATTATGAACCTGTCTCAGGAGGATCTGTGTATAGTTGCAATGATCATGCCTTAGAGATCGTTTGAGTGGAAACCATCAAATTAAAGATATATGATGGAACAATTAAAGTTGTTCGAGATGTGCGACACGTGAAAGGCCTAAAGAAAAATTTATTATCCTACGGATTGTTGGATAATAATACAAGAAGATTGAAACACGGAAATGAATCATGAAGGTGTTCGTGGAGCGCTTGTGGTGCTGAAAGGCGAAAAGATAGCATCAAACTTGTACATGTTGAAGGGAGAGACTTTGCTAGAATCAGAAGCCTCTGTTGCCTCATGTAGTTCAGATTCTACAATGCTATGGCATCAGAAACTTGGACACATGTCAGAACAAGGAATGAAAGTCATTGTGGAGCAAAAGTTACTTCCCAGCTTAACAAAGGTATCACTTCTTTTGTGTGAGCATTGTATAACAAGTAAGCAGCACTGGTTGAAATTTAACAAGTCAAATTCTAGAGGAAAAAATGTTCTAGAATTGGTTCACTCTGACGTATGGCAAGCACCAGTTACATCCCTAGGCGGAGCAAAATACTTTGTCTCATTTATTGATGACTACTCCAGGAGATGTGGGGTGCACCCTATTAAGAAGTCAGACGTGTTTTTAACTTTCAAAAACTTCAAAGCGCGGTGGAACTTGATTCTGGAATAAGATCAAGTGTTTCAGAACAGATAATGGAGGAGAATACACAAGCGAAGAATTTGATGACTTTTGCAAGAAAGAAGGCATCAAAAGACAATTCACAGTGGCGAACATCCTCAACAAAATGGAGTGGCAGAGCAGATGAACAGAACCTTGTTAGAAAGAACAAGAGCAATGTTGAGGGACGCAGGCCTAGAAAAATCATTCTGGGCAGAAGCAGTCAATACCGCCTGTTATTTGGTGAATCGAACTCCATCAACTACAATAGAGCTGAAGACACCAATGGAGATGTGGACTGGTAAACCAGTTGATTATTCAAACCTCCATGTATTTGGAAGTATTGTGTACATGATGTACAACGCCCAAGAAATTTCAAAGCTGGATCCAAAATCCAAGAAATGCAAATTCTTGGGATATGCTGATGGAGTAAAGGGGTATTGCTTGTGGGATCCCACTGCCCGCAAAGTGATCATTAGCAGGGATGTTATCTTTGTAGAAGATAAACTACAAAGAAAAGAAGACGATGATAGCGCT